GACATGGGAGTTGGGAGGGGAAGGACCTACCCCTCCCAACCTGCCAACTGCCTTCCCCGTTTTCAGGGGAGGGCAGAGAAAAGTGTGGAGTGGACTGTTGTAAGCAACTGCATGAACGTGGCCGAAAAAATGACCAGGCGCATGCAGTTAGATTAGTTTTATTCTTTTCTTTTTCTTGTTATTTATTTCAGTGAGGACACTTGTCCTCACGTAGTGCTACCTCTGGCAGAAGCTGCTGGAGGTAAATGTCAGGCTCCAATTTTTGCATGGAGCCTAAAAATTGAAGGGCCACTAAGGAAAAGGCTAGGTGCAGCCTTTTCCCCGATGTTTCTGCCCTGGGAAAAGGGTCCAGATACATCAAATTGTAAGGGGTTGTATCTTTCCAACCCCTTTTGAGAAAAATAAAAGAAAAAAGGTTTTGGAAATGGCAGGAACCCAGCTATCTCGTGAGATTTCGAGATAGCTGGGAAAAAAGAAAAGGAAAAATTAAATGGGGCGGTTAAAGAAACTGCCCCACACTAAGGCTGTGGCTGTGGTGCGGTGACAGTCAGCCTTGGATCTTAGCAGATCAAGGGCTCACAATGAGCCCACGATTTTGCTTGGGGGCTGGAGTGACGACCAACCCTCCTCAGCCAATATAAAACAGGCAGCTGCCCCCCAGCTGCCACACAATGCACTCGTGCTGATAGTGGGTGACGAGCACACTTGAGTGTTGCTGGCTGCTGGAGCTGCTGCCTGAGGCAACGTGAGGAGAAGCTGGAGGTCTGCAGAGGAGCGCAAGGAGGAGAACTGGGCAGCCATAGCCAAGGCATGGAGCACTCTGCTCCCCTCCCCTCTGGTTGGTGCTGGTCCCACGGGACAGACACGGTGACACTGCGGGACTACGGCAGTGTGGCACAGTGAAATTTGGGCCTGGGACCCAAATTTTACTAATTTTGGCCTGCTGTTTTTTACTGCGGTAGTACGAAAGTGCTGCCGAAATTCTGCAGCGACGACACGGCTTTTTACAGCAGCGGTACGGAAGTGCTGTCGAAATTTTGCGGCGGTGACGCGACTTTTTACGGCAACGGTACGGAAGCGCTGCCGAAATCCTGCGGCGGAGGCACGGTTTTTTTTTGGCGGTGGTGCGGAAGCGCTGCCGGATTTTTGCGGCGGCGGTTCTGTTTTTTTCGGCAGTGGTGCAGAAGCGCTGCAAGATTTTTGTGGCGACGAGTCTTTTTTTTTTTTTTCGGCGGTAGTGCGGAAGCGCTGCCGAATTTTTGCGGCGGCGACTCCGGTTTTTTCGGCGGTAGTGCGGAAGCGCTGCCGGATTTTTGTGGCGGCGGCTCCGATTTTTACGGCGGTAGTGCAGAGACGCTACCGGATTATTGCAAGGTGATCGGTGCTGAAAGGGTACCCTGGCAAACGATCGTCAAAGGAAGTGGTGTCGATCACTTTAGTGACGACTGCGTGCGACAACCTTGTCGTTAGGAGAGCGTACTTCTATAGGGGTTACTTGGGTATACCGTTCGACTTTCTCATAGTCAGTTAGCCTGATTCAGTTCTCTTCACACCTGTGGAAACCCACACTTGCTTGACCCTGGTTCTCTGAACGTTCATTGAAAAGGGAAAAGGAATGTGTGTTTGTGTGTATGAGAGGGATTCTGACGATGGCAAAGGATCTGTATGGTGGTCTACTTGTGGTCTGACTTTGATTGCAGGTACGGCATGTGAGCTGAGATGGATGAGGAATGACGATGAAAAATATGGTTGTTTCCTCACCTCTTTACTTATGAGTGCGTGTAAACTAAAAGGAAAAGAAGACGACGAGAATAAAGCGAGCATAACGAAGAGGAAACACAATTGAATTTAGACCTGATCCCCAAGGTCACCATTTCTTTCCCGAATGACCCTTTTCTATCTGCGCCCGTCCGTCTGCATGACTTTTTTCTTACAATTTTCTTTCCTTCGTCTAAGTAACTCCTAACGTCAGACGACAAGAGTTTTCTTTGCCCGCCGTGTAGATGGTTTTTCCTTTTTCTATGAGGCATCTGGAGTGGGGGTTCGTTGTTTTAGGGGCCAACCCTGATATCGACTCAGAGTGGACCGCTTTGCGGAGTGGTACCATGTTGTTGCGGTGGAGCCAGCCCGACTTTTGAGTTCAGAGGTTCACTCGGACCAGGACGAGGGTATCCCAGACCACCTCCGAGGGGGATGAATAAAAGCATCTTCACGAAATGACTTTAAGTTCTTGATGCCTTGCGTAAGGAGAAACTGCCATAACACTCCTTTGATGGCCGTTCGTGTGAGCCACGGACATATGGGGAACTAGTGCCACAAGCAGCCCATCCTTATGAATTATACTCCGAGGAGGACGTCCCGCGGTTCTGGGGAGGCAATGCTGGGAATCCCCCTAGACGACTTATTTTTAGTTCAAGGACAGGGCTGGACATCTTACATTATGAGTTTGCGCCGCCACTGCCCGAACGTGAATTCGCCAGCATGAATCTGGTCGTAATGCAGCAGTCCGAATTGAACCCTCGAATGGACGAAATTCCCGAGATAAGGTTGACGTTCGTTCGCTCTGTACTCTGGCTGAACGAACGGCAGAGTCCGTTCTTTGATATATATCATACAAGACGAGTGCGAGCAAACAGGTTCAGTATTCTAAGAGTTGAACCTTTCTCTAAGTATGCTTGGCAGGATGAGGAAGACGAACTCGAGGAAGAATTACGTGACTGATGTAATTTTCTGTTCTGACACTCAGATGCCTGGAGCACGACACGACTTGACGACGTTGAGGTACCTGGTGGTTCACGACACACATGAGGTCGATCTTATCAGAGGAGCGAAGCAGCTTTTACGAGTTCGAGACGATTCTCCTACTGCATGGTTTGGCTTCATCGGGTTATTATGAAACGGCGAGAGATTTTTTCCCACTACTCGCGCGGATTTTCGGGCAAATACAACTCGGACTTAGGATGAGCTCTTCGGATATACCTTGTATTTCCACCGTGCGAGTACTCTCCAATGTCTCTCACGAGTCATTGTGAGTATCACGATTACCTCGTCCGACAGACGTTTCGGCGTCATACGGATCCGGGATACTGAGACCAAATACTTGTTTGGACTCAATCGGCGAGTCATAATGTGGAGAGTAGCCTCACGGATGGCCTCCCTATATCGTATTCAGATTTTTAGAGTCATGCGAAGAGGGTGAGCGATAACCCTGGTACTTGACAACGATGAGCGTGCGCGTTTGGATTTGCTCAAGGCACAGGTGCACGGAGGACGACAAATTTACCAGGGTTAGACGCCACATTCTGGGAATCGTACTCAGATTCCATAAAACCTCTTGCATAGACCAATCCCGTCGAGGAAGTCATAAGATTATGACTTCACGAGGTAATCCCAAAAACAACAAAAACACTTTATGTAGTTAGGACCGCCAAATAGATAGTATTCGGATTACCCAGATGATTTCACTATCATGCTTATGCGTTGAGGGGTAATCGTTCACATAAAAATAAGCGGAACAAAGTGAAAAGCACGACATCTGAAAAAGATGCGAAGCGTAATAAAGAGAACGAAGTAGTGAGGGACGGAGCATTTTTGTGTTGAGTTACTTAGTGTTGGAGATGAATACTCCGTCATTCGTGGAACAGAAAGAGTAATTATTGTCCAGGAGGACAAAGCGACCAACAAAGTTTTTACTCGCTTCTCCGTGTAGTTGCATGGTACGGAAATGTGGTCGAACCGAGAGCTCAAACATCGACCAAATATCAGATCACTTGTTGATCTCAAACAGATCACTTGTTGATCTGCATGGTACCAGTGATATTTACTTGCAGAAGTTAATCATGACGAGTTTCAGTAGCCATGATAGGAAGATCAGTCTTAATTTATTTATCTAATTAATAGTCTTGGAGTGACAATGTAAAAGTTTTTTAGTCATACAGGTCGAAAAGAAACACCTTGGCAGACCAGCTCATCAAGTCCATAATTTGGATTGTGCGATTTTATTTTAAGGTATGGGGATTTTAGTTGTTAGGGACTAAGGGTTGTTTTCACGCTTGGTTGAGACTGTCCTAGTCGACCAGCGCACACTTCGTACTTGGGAGATCAACGCCCCAGGGAACGAACGGCATTCGGGTCCGTTCGGCGTTTAGTCAAACATTTCCTATACTGCAGCGAGACGAGCAAACGCCCTCGGCAGATCTACCTCTACGATTGCATTTAAAAGCTTTCGCACGTGGGTCAGTAACTCGGTAGGGATACGCCCCTAAGTGTGGTGACAACCCCTTAGGGATGCAAGCTTATGCCCCGCGAGAACATGTCCTGTCGTAGGGGAGCGCGAGATGTACAGCTGGCGCACCCGGCCAGAGTGGCACAGGAGCGATGCAACCACGTCCGTCTCGACGGTTCGCGGAAATGTTATGCGTCTTTCCTGAGTTGTCTCTTGAAGTTTATGTTTTAGGTGAACTCTTTCGTAACATGGCCAGGAGGACCCTCGTTTTCACGCGAGGGCCGATGCGCTCGACAGGTGGCGCCGTTGCCGGGGATAACGACAAACTACCGTTGTCCCAAGCGGAACGACACTTGGGTGATTAATGGAGTAAAAAAATATTTTCTTTTCTTTGTTTGACCTCAGAAAAAGTCAGTAATTTGATCCCAAAATTATGAGAATTTATTTATGCAGAAAAATTGACTGATTTCTGTTGAATATGTTGTTGTGATTTTCTTCACTCAAGATGACTAATAACAACGACAATCAGGATGAGAGAACAAATGACATTTGGGAGCTCGCCAGAATTATTTAGCAGTCCCAGAAGGAGCAAATCCCGAAGGTTGACGTTCCATTATTTGATGGTAACAATGTCTCGAGATGGGCATACAAGTTCGAGCAATTGGGAAGTTGCTGCGAGTGGTCCAATGAAAAGATGCTACGAATAGTGAAAATATATTGCAAGGTTCAGTACAAGGAAGAGGTGAAGGAATTGGTGCGAGATTCTCGAGACTGGCCGGATTCAAAGGAAAGCTGCTTGAGAAGTATCAGTTGGGCGACCAACTGTTGGACCTAGCAGATTTGAGGAAAGTTAGTCGAAGCAACTTTGATACGACAAAGCAGTTTCTCACTCAATTCGAGCGAGTGGCGCGTCTGGTTCCTGACCTCCCAGACAAGAATCGTTGTCCCATCTTCCGGAATAATTTCACGGAAGTGGAGCAGTTAAAATTGGTGAAGGGCATGAAGGAACGACATGATTGGCCAAAAAATCGAGAGAATTTATTGACCGTGGATTTCGACCAGATCCTCTATCGGTTGCTGAAACAACAGAAGGAGGATCGGGAGAGGGTACAGTTGGGATCGAATAAGGACAAGGAGGTCTATAAGACCATATCCGACATGAAGGAAATGATGACCAGCTTGAAGGAGGAGCCGTTAAAGCTCCAAGTGATGATGGCTAAGACAAAGACTGGAAAGAGAAAAGGGAAGGAGCCAGTCACTCAAGCTAGTAGCAGTGAAAGTGACAGCGAGGAGGAAAAGGAACCTTCTCGGAAGTTGACTAAGGCTGAAAGGAAAGCTTTGAACCAGATACGAGGAGGGCAAGGTACTTCTCGTAAACGAGGGGAAAGTAGTAAGGATGGAGGAAATGGAAGCGGGAGCAACAAACTGACCAAGGGCAACAAAGCCAAGGTCAGCATGCTCAACCACAGGGTGGTCGAGACCGTGGTAGAGAGCGCGGAAACGGTGGCGGACATGGGAACTGGCAGAATTACGTCTGCAAATATTGTGATATGAAGGGACAGATTATTCGTTTCTGCCAGATTCTCGCCAAGGACGAGAAAGACCAAATCGTTTTTACGACGATTCGAGGAGAAGTCTTTGACTTCAAAGGAAATCTCATCGATCGGAACATTGAACGAGGGATGAGGAAAGAGCCTTTTCGACAGATGGGCCTCCTCTTCCGGCCACGTTCCGCCTAGTTTCTCATGAAGAAGCAAGTCTTTTTGAATTGGAAGAGACAATGATTTCTTTGGAGATCGGCGACTGTGAGGAAGAGGAATTGAATGAAAGAAAAGAAGACATTGTTCATCGGGCACGAAAGGTAAGCAGGAAATTGGGCAAGTATCGGAACTCTATTGTTCAGTTATGTGTTCGCATGGAAGAAATTTGGCCCAACCTTCCGAATGTGTTCCTTTTTGGTGGTTGGGGAAACGAGGGACAGGATGGGTTAGCACCTGCGGCCGCTTCGGCGCCTGAAGCAACGCCGATGGCTTGGCCAATGACGATGTCCAGACTTGTGTTTAAGCGAGGGATGCCTACCATTATGGTGCAAACGCGGAAGGGAAGGAAGACCTCACAATCGCAGCCTGCGCCAGGAGAAAGTTCAAAGAGACCTCAGGAAAAGGAACCTATTCAGATAGAGGAAGGGGATGATGAGGAGGAGGATGAAAGATTGCGTGCAGAGGATGAACTGCTAGCAAAGCAGAGGGCTATGGAGAGAGATTCAGAAGCAGGGAAGGCCAAGGTCGAGGAAGAGGAACCTCGCAAGAAGAAGAATGTGTACACGATGCCTGTTGAAAATAGAATTGATTTTGAACAGTTTGTGGATCGCATTCTGGAAAGTCAGCGCGACTTGGTTACCCTGAAGGAGATTATTGTTGTATCGCCGAAGCTTCGCGAGGAATTTAAGCATCGCATGACTCGGAAGAAAGTCATGAGAGTTAAGCTGAGTGAGATTATCCCTCCAGAAGCTAACCGGGCGCCTCCTGGCACAAAGATGGACTGACAATGTGTGGCCACTGGTCTCATAAAAGTTCAAATCGGTCGTGGAGAATTTTCTGTTCTTGTAGATGACGAAACCGAAATGAACATCATGAGAGAGAGACATGTGATTGAAGCTGGAATTCAGATCAATCGCAATGATTTTGGATTTTTTGTTGGAGTCAGTGGGGCAACTCCATTTTGCGGTACGGCCAGTGGCGTAATGGTCATGGTCGGGAAGGTAAAGGCGAGATCGTATTTTTATATATTGCCAAAGGTTGAGCACGAAGTGCTTTTGGGAAGATTTTTTCAGTGTCGCACGGAAAGTATAATCTTCAACAAACATGACGACACCATGTTTGTAGCTTTGTGCGATCCGATTTGCGGCTACTATGAAGTAGTGAAGTGCACGAATACCGGACCGGAAAATTCACGGAACCGGTTGAATCCTGAATCATATATCTTTTCAGAGTCTGAAAAGTTGAGGAGGGAGAAAGAGGCGATTGAGAAAGACGGGGATCCTCAAGAGTTTTCGTTGACATTGCCAGAGATCTCGCAGGCGATCGATTTTGTAGCAACCCATCCTGCGATTGATCCAAGCCTGGTACAGACTCTGATGGAGGTTGTGGCCGATGAAAAGGGTGCGGGGACCATGCATCTCGTCTATCAGCCAAATGAATCTCGTATGGAGGAATCACTGTCATTGGCAAGGCAAAAAATTTTTTTAGGGGACGGAAGCTCAAGAATGGGTCAAAAAGGAAGTATAAGAAAGTAGGAGAGAAGGCGCGACCAGTGCCAGTTCTGATCACTTAGGAAAAGGAGGTGTATTATAAGGAAGAACGCGAGTGGACCAGAACATTGAAAGAAAAGGGTGAGAAGGGGGCGTGTCCATTGACAGGCGACAGGGTCAAGGAGATGATCATTGGAGAGGATGACCTCCTCACTTAGGAGGAAACCCAATTTTTTATCGACGTTATGAAGAAAATTAATCTGGCTTATGCTTTTGATGATGATGAGCGTGGAAAGTTGGACGTCGATATGATTCCAATGATCCGGATTCATACGGTACCGCATGAGCCATGAAATGTGAAAGGTCCAAGATATACGAATCTGAACGATCACCGGAAGGTGGTTAATTATCTTGATGGTAAGGTTCGGACCAAAGTGGCTGACTATTCGTATGGGTCATATGCGTCTCCTTGGTTCTGTTTTATCAAACAGAACGGTGTTTTGCGATGGGTTCAGGACCTGCAGAAGTTAAATTCTGTAACAGTCCGAGATGCAAGAGGACTTCCGAACGCCAACCAACTCTCGGAATCTTGTGCAGGCAGACCCATCATCACCCTGATTGATTTGTATTTAGGGTATGATCAGTTCCTGTTGTACACAGCGGATCGACCTATGACGGCAATGCATACGCCTCGGGGACTGCTTCAGATGTGCGTGGCTCCACAGGGTTGGACAAATGCCGTGGCAATTGTGCAGAGATATATGATGAGAGTCATGCAGTCACTTTGTCCGGACGTGACCTCTCCATATATCGATGATTTGGCTATTTGGCTATCCCAAAACCTCGAGTCAAGGATGAGACTGAAGTGTTACCTGGTGTTCGAAAGTTCGTGTGGGAACACATCAGAAATGTGGAAAAGGTTTTGAAAAAACTAATGGAGTATAACCTCACAACTAGTGGGGTTAAATCGAGGCATGGTATGAGGAAGGCGGTAATATTGGGTTTCCTTTGTGATGAGAAGGGTCGTCGGCCAGATGCTAAAAAGACGAATAAGATCTTGGAGTGACTAACTCCCTTCAGATCTATTACCGATGTTCGAAGCTTCCTTGAAACTTGCGGATTCTGACGTATTTTTATCCGCAGGTTCGCAGTGAGGGTGGAACACTTGCGGAAGTTAGTACGCAAGAATTAGATCTGGGAATGAGGACCGAAGCAGCAGGCAGCCGTTGAGGATATTAAAGCTGAGTTTCGAGAAGGCGGCCTGATTTTTGGAGTTCCTTATTTTGAGGATGCTGAAAGCCGTCCTTTCATCATCGAGACTGATGCAGGCTTTACAACTTTAGGAGGAGTTCTGGTCCAAAAGAATGAGGAAGGACGGGAACGACCATTGAGATTCGAGAGCAGAACTTTGAATATTACTGAGCGAAACTACTCCCAGTTCAAGAAGGAAACTCTCGCTGTGCTTCACTGTCTGCGTATTTTCAATAATTATGTATTTGGCAGGCGGTTCATTCTGCGAGTTGATCCTACGGCTCTGGCTCAATCGTTGAAGAACTATTCTCCTTCTGATCCAACCATGGCTTGATGGCTGACGTATATTTGGATGTTCAATTTTGAGATTGAGCGAATTTCAGGTACTCAGAATCGAGCAAATGGGTTAAGTCGTGTTGATTAGGACTCATCGACGGATGAGGCTGAGGATTCAGTCCCTGTCGATGGGTTCCTGGAAGGAGAAGAGTCACAATTGAGTATTAACTCATACAATTATTTGGCAGATGCAACAACCTGGCATGGAAAAACCATCTGGAATGCTCCTCGTTTTCATCATGTGCGATCAGAGCTTGTGATTGGGGAGCCGTTCATTTAGGAAGACCCATGGGGTGAAATAACATCAGAGCAAATAATGAACTTGGCTTTATCTGATGAAGTCGAGTTCATCAAAGAGCCGCCGACGATTGAATATGGGCATGAGCAGGCTGATAAGACTTTCCGGATCGTTGGGGAGATGTCATTTCTTGTCAATTCTCTGATTCACGAAGACCGCCTGAAAATGATGAATGAAAAAGCAGAAGGTAGTGAGATCAGAGAAGCTTTCAGAGAAGGAGAGTATGATGGGAAGTATAGATTGATGAGAATGTGGTTAAATTGTGAGTTGAGGAAGGATGAGGTGGATCCATCTGTTCGCCAAAAGAGCAAGGGTTTTGTTGTACGATATGGTCATCTTTTCAAGAAGTCAAACGATGGTATTCCGAAGAGAGTGGTATGTGGGGTTGCGCGACAACTTGATGTGATTGCAACTTTGCATGATGGGGTCGCAGACGGACATAGATCGATGCGAGTCACTTTGAAAAAGATTCAACATCTTTACTTTTGGGAAGGAATGAACAAGATGGTAAATGGCTTCTGTAAATCTTGTCTTCATTGCCAAAAACGATATAATCTGCGTTTTGTTGAACCTCTTAATCCACACTATGTGGCTGAGCTGGGAGCCGTAGTACACCTTGATTTATTGATCATGACACCTGGGATTAATAGGTACAACTATATCTTCAATGCAAGGGATAATCTGACTGGGTTCGTTGATGGTTGTGCCATTCGCGAGCGTACTAGGCATGTTTTAACAGAATGCATTGAGAAATATTATCTTCGGTACCCGTTTGTCCGGGAAATTGTCATGGATCGAGGTGGTGAGTTTCGGGATGGGGAAGTGCAGGCGCTTTTGAAAAAACTTGGAGTAAGCTGTAGCTATACTACAAGGGCACATCCCCAGGCCAATACGTCAGTTGAGCGTGGACATGCCACTCTAACAAATTTATTGGCAAAATGGTGCGGAGATGATCCATCGAGATGACCGATATATCTGAGAACGACATTCTTTGTTGAGAATGTTACCATAAAGCAAACAACTGGATACGCTCTAGTCACATTGTGGTTTGGGCGACATGCAACTTTTCCAATCGAGAGTTTCCTGACCACTTGGAGGAAGCAGGATGTGAAAGCGAAACTCTCGACGGAGGAGTTGTTGGAACTAAGAGCGAGACAAGTGATGATCACTGAGGAAAGGGTTGAGGAGACCGTTGCTTCTATTGCAGAGAGCAGGCACGCTGACAATGAAAGATGGGATAAGGGGCCTCGTGTTCGTAAGGAACCGTTGGAAGTCGGGGATATTGTACTTCTTTATGACTCGTCCTTGGAAAAACAATGGTCTCGGAAATTGGACAGCCGATGGTTGGGGCCCTATCGTAATATCAGGAAATCTGAGCATGGGGCTTATGAGATCAAATAGTTGGATGAGGCTCGAGGTAGAAATTGGGTGTCGCGATCACATTTGAGAAAGTTTATTCCAAGGACTTAATAAAGGGGTTTCAGTTAATATAGATTTTGGATAATGATGAATTTGCTTTTCTTCGTCACTTTCTTACATGGGATCATTGATTGCTGACTGGTTTCGAGGCTAGACAAGGAAATTATAACTTTGGACTTTTGAAATTTGAATTTAATTTTGGGACCTATGGTTCCATGTTTTGTATAATTAATAAATTTTACAACTCCTGTTTATGGAATTATGTTATGTTTTTTTGATAAAAAATCTGTTGATTCCTAAATTTGGATGATTGCTTGTTTCTTTTTTTTTCGATGTAATGTGATGCAATGCAAATTTATGAATATTTTTGGACTGGAATGTTATGGATCTCTCTGTGAAAATGTATGTTGTTATTTGATGTATATTCTCGTTGTAAAAAAGTTCTAGGAAAATGATATGTAATTTGCATTACATGGCTTGTGGCATAACTATATGAGTTACTCACAAGGCATGTAATGCAATTATTTATCATAGCCTAGAACTTTCGTAATGTTTTTAGTTGTCATATTATGACGAGTCCGGATGCAGTGAGCTCCATAGATGGTAGTGACGTCTACGCCGGGACTTGTCCCTGGTCCAAAATGGGATGCTGTCACTTTTCCTTTTTAAGGATGGTGGCTACACTATCATTGAAAGGGAGGAAGATATTATTGTGATTGTTGGAATCTTGCTTGTGAGGGTGACGACTGCCGCTCGTCATGGGGAAAGGAGTGGTCACCTTGGCCTTGTGACGAATGGGGTCGCCTCGCCTCTATGACCGGGTCTGACCAGCTTAGGCCATAGAGAAAGGGTAGTTCAACCTCGCAGGTAGGGGACTAACAAACACATGATACTGGAATCGGAGGGAAGGTGGTGAGGCTCGAGTCTAAAGCGGGGTTTGACGTCGAGATGATATCCCTTGTGGATTACACCACTCCTCGACGCATATCACAAAGCATACAGGAAAAATATCATATATGA